CTTTCACATGGGAGGAATGGATTTTGGAGAGGATTGGCTGAAGGTTTGAGGCAAGAAGGCTGAGGAGACGATTTTCGAGGGCTCGTGATCGTGGAGACTGAGTCGGGGACGGTCAATCAACACTACGACTTTAGTTTCTCTCCTTTCCCTTATCTTTTCTAGATTTATTATGAAATTCTTTGTGAGATTTTATTGTATTTTCGTGAACATGAGTAGCTAATCTTCTTGTTCTAGGGATTGACGTAGYCGTTGGATTTATTAACATTTGTCTTGATTGATTTGTTTTTAATCTATTTATGCATYTATTTGCTTAATGCTTTTAATCTCTTGATCACGGATTAATTGTTGCTAAATCTGAATCTTATGCTCGGAAGAGGTGGTTTAGGTTGGAACCTGAATGCATGACTGAGGTAGTTCTAAGATCGGGAGATTTAGAATTATCTTAGAGGTTGTTAAAAGATTAAGGCTTAAGACCCTGCTTGTTAATGARACTAGATATGGATATTGGTTTCTTAATAAGTGGGAGAATTAGTTGTGCTCGGGAGAGACTTTTATGATTCTTGATTTCTTGACTTATAGATTAATTGCATATTCAATCTTGGCATGTTTAATTTGTCCGCTTGTAGGTTCAATTGGTGAAATCATTTCCGTAGGACCTGTTCTCCATAAGAGTTTTCTTAGAGTCTTTTATTCACTTTGTTATTTTATCTTTTGTGTGTCAAAAGAAATTCCTGATTGTTTCTCTACATAAAATTGGACATTAATATCCGTAGTACTTGAGTGACTAGAAATCCAATCYAGTKGACGATATCGATAATTACTCGCCAATTAAAATTTGACCCGTACACTTGCGGTAAGCAATWTTTGCAACATCAATGATTAAATTAAGAGAAAAAGAAAAAAGACAGGGGACAGGCAGGTCCCCCCACACAATTATTAGGGAGGCAGGGGGRCAAGAAACATGTGAATCACGTTGTTAAAGTTAACCATAGTTTAAAAACTATAATTTGGTTAGTTTGATTAAATGTTGATAMAATCTTGGTTGTTAGATAATTTAGCTTACAGGTCAGTTTGTTACTATCAAACTTGGTTGTATGTACACATTAAAGCAGAGACCTATGTATGATAATTTTTAGTGCGAAGTATTTTAATAAGATTTGACTTCTCCTCTATTTTATTCCCACGCAATACACGTTGAAGGAACTAAAATATTAATTTGAAATTTCATATTGTAGAAAGTCAAATTTTGTGTGAGATCCAATCTCTCCTTCTCAGTAGATACTACTTTTTCTATTCCTGCTAAAATTACTAGAATTGAATATTTCAAATTTATTATTTAATATTCTTTTAAAAATGTGTTTAATTAAACATGAAAATGAAAATAATGCTGAAATTCCACACTTTCAGGTTAAATCCGTAATTCCCACCCCAAGCATCAAGAACACACAGAAGAGTTTTTCAGCCCCAAGACCCTTCAAGAAGAGAGCTGCCTCTTTAACACTATAAGTAGAAGCTTTCATCCATTGCCAAAACACAAAACCAAACATGAAGTCACCAATTATCTCGTTAGCTTATATTTTTGTTGTCTTGTCGTTTGCCCGGGTAGCTTCTGCCTGCAACTATGAAGATTTTCTCCATTGCCTTTCTTTTCATTTTCCCAATAGCTCTTCAATTTCAAAGATTATTTACACTCCAACCCATCCTTCTTACTCTTTAGTTTTGAACTTCTCAATCCAGAACCTAAGATTCTTGGGTGCCAAAACTCCAAAGCCTCAAATAATTGTAACGCCATTGGAAGCTTCCCACGTTCAAGCATCCATCATTTGCGCCAAAAATAATGGTTTGCAAATACGAACACGTAGCGGTGGCCATGACTATGAGGGTCTTTCCTATGTCTCCAACGTTCCTTTCGTCGTTGTTGATTTGACGAATCTTCGGTCCATTGACGTCGATGTGGAACAAAAGGTTGCTTGGGTGCAATCCGGAGCCACCATCGGTGAACTCTACTATAGAATTGCAGAGAAAAGCAAAACACTGGGGTTCCCAGCAGGGCTTTGCCCGACAGTCGGCATTGGTGGGCACTTCAGCGGTGGTGGCTATGGTGTGATGCTACGAAAATTTGGTCTTGCTGCAGATAACGTGATCGACGCTTACTTCATTGATGTCAACGGTAAGCTCCATGACCGAAAATCAATGGGGGAGGATGTGTTTTGGGCCATTAGAGGAGGAGGAGGAGCAAGCTTTGGAATTGTTCTTGCATGGAAAATAAAGCTCCTCCAAGTTCCAYCGTTGGTGACTGTTTTCACAATCACAAGAAACTTGGAACAAAACGCAACCAATTTAATATACCGGTGGCAATATGTGGCCAACAAGCAAGATGACAGACTTATCATCAAAATTATATTAATGGGCACGAACTCAAATAATCATCGAAATGGAAAAAGAACAATAGAAGCATTTTTCAACTCATTGTTCCTTGGAAAAGTCGAAGATCTTCTTCCCATCATGCAAAAGACTTTCCCAGAGCTAGGGCTGATGAAAGAAGATTGCATAGAAATGAGCTGGATTGAATCTGTTCTCTATTTTGCTGAATTTCCTAGAGGGCAGCCATTAAATGTCCTTCTCGATAGGCGTTCGACTTTCAAAGGTTCATTCAAAGGCAAATCCGACTATGTAAATGAGCCCGTCCCCAAAGCTGGGCTCGAGGGTATATGGGAATTGTTCAACGAAAAAGAAGCTAAAATGGTACAAATGTTTCTTATCCCTTACGGTGGAAAAATGAACGAGATTTCTGAATCGGAGATTCCCTTTCCGCATAGAGCTGGAAATCTTTACCAGATTCATTATTCCATATATTGTGGGGGAGATGAAGAACAAAGAAATAAAATTTGGATCCGTAAGTTTTACAGCTACATGGCTCCTTTTGTTTCAAAGAATCCGAGGGCTGCATATATCAATTACCGAGACTTGGATATTGGAACGAACAACGAAAATGGGAATACAAGCTACGACAAAGCAAGTATATGGGGAGTTAAATACTTCAAAGATAATTTTAAGAGGTTGGTTAGTGTAAAAATTAAGGTTGATCCTTCCAATTTTTTTAGGAATGAGCAGAGCATTCCATCTCGATGGTGGAAGAAAGGGGGACATGAGGTGTTTTGAGATATGATTGGAAGCAATTCTTAGGATGTGTTATACTGAGATGAGCACAATGGGGGTTTTCTACTTTGGTTTTGTAGTTTATGCCTTAGAAAATTGCTACCTTTGTATTCTAAATGTTCATATATCATCAAAGACATTTGGTTTTGTAGTTTATGCCTTCGAAAATTGCTACCTTTGTATTCTAAATGTTCATATATCATCAATTTGTCTTTGGAAGGCAGCTAATAAACATACAACACTATTGTATTTTTGCATTATGTACCTATTTCCAAGTTGGGTTCTTCAACAATTTTGCACTTAGGTTTTGACAAAATTCTATTCTTGGGCGTTAAACATAATCAACCCATGATTGTGAAGAATTTTTTAATATTAAAAATTGAAGAAAAAAAAAACCAGAAAAAGAAAGATATGATGGAATTTTTGTTCTTAGGTGTTTCTGAATAATCATATTGTCACAAGCGTTTGATAGTAAAAATGGAAAAGAWTATTTTGAAAATTTGTATTGATTTTTAAAGTAGCTTTGAAGCATTCAAGTCCTAGATCTCATCTATATAAAGGTCTTATAAGCATAATTTTTTTCCTTATTTTGCCCTTTTAATTCTAAATTTTTGTCTATAATTTGATGGCATTTTTGTCATTTCTCTCTCTCAATAATTACATTATTTTTCCCCTCCCTCTCTAAAAAATTATACACCCGTCCACATTCCTCTACCTCTCTCCTAAAATTACACCTTCCGTTCACATTCCTCCATCTCTCCACTACTTTTTCTCAACATTAAATGTCAATTTTTAGTTCCTTTCATCTGAATATCTCTCCACTATTTTTTCAAAACTATTTTTCTTATAAATTATTGACGAAGTGTTAATTATTACTATTATTATTTAATAATGATAAAAGTTAGAATATAAATAGTTGCTTAAAAAATGATGTAAAGAATTAGAATATATAATGATTTGTATTTTTATTTCTATGAATTAATTAGTTGTTTTAAATTTTCATTAATTGGAAAATTTAAAAAATTTTGTAACTTAATATTATCTCGCACACGCACAACTATATAAAGAATTTTTTCTTTCTCATACTCCCAGCTTTTTCCTCGTCAAAACTCAATCTTCTATTATTCTCATGGATATTTTTCTCTGTTTATGCAAGGATATGCACAACAGTGTATTTCTGATTGCAGCTCGAACTCGGCCTCYGGACCGATCTGAATACTTGGGCGGACCTGCACAAAAAGGTGAGCACTCCGACGATCAAGTCAGTATAGGTCGGATTCCCAGTTTAGTTCGAGGTCAGAAACATCGTACCTGATCGTGGAGTGAGATCCTCTACTTATGGGTGGTAGTCCCGCTAATCTCGCGACGGTTACACCCGGTAATCTCGGGACCATCGGTTACACCCGGTAATCTTGGGACCGACGGTTACACCCGATAATCACGCCGCTGACAGTAGCTCACATCGGCCCCCACTGAGCTTCCCGGTAGATCGGACATCGGCCAGGTTCACCTCGGCCCTCATACTTAGCATCTGTCAACGCTAGTGGTGGTGA